TTTACTTTTTCTTTTCTTCTTTATTCTTATTTACTTTTTCTTATTCTTTATTCTTTCTAATTGCTTCTATCTTTCATTTTCTTCTTTCTTATTACCTCATTTTGTCTTTATTACCTTCTTCTTTTCTTCTTTATTCTATCTTTTCTTTATTCTTTCTCTTCTATTTCTTTATTCTATCTAATGTTACTTTTATATTCTTTATTACTCAAAATAAATTGACAATTTAAAAACATTATCTTGTTTATTTCAAACTATTCATTGAATTCTATTAACTTTATTCATTCCTTCTATATTGTCTATTTCTCCTTTCATTCTTCTTTTATTCTTTTAATGCGTCTTCAACTCTTATTCTACTTGTTTTCTTATTACTTCAACTTCTTCATTATATTCTTTTATCTTTCTGCCGTATTCTTACTTTTATTGCTTTCTTGTTCTTTCTTTCCATTTGACCTTATTACTCATACCTCTATTCTTTTCTGCCTTTCATCTTTTATTAACTCTTTCATTGATGACTTTATTCTTTCTCGTCTTTATATCTGTTATTATATTGGATTCTTTCATTTCGTACCTTATTTAATCTATCATTCTTCTTCTATTTAGTTTTACTCTTTTCTACTTTCTATTCAACTCTTAACTTTATGTCTTTGTGTTTCTTTGTCTCTATAAAAACCTTGTATGTCTTGAACTTCCTCCTTCTTTGTACTTCTACTTCTTTCTTTAATCCTTTCTTATTCTCCCCTTCTTTTTTTTATGTGTCTTCTTTGAGTGTATCACTTCTATCTCCTTTTCTTCTTCTCATTTCTTCTCTCTTAATTGATCTTCATCTCTCTTCTTCTTTATATTTCTTTATATTTCTTTATATTTCTTTATATTTCTTTATATTTCTTTATATTTCTTTATATTTCTTTATATTTCTTTATATTTCTTTATATTTCTTTATATTTCTTTATATTTCTTTATATTTCTTTATATTTCTTTATATTTCTTTATATTTCTTTATATTTCTTTATATTTCTTTATTTTATTGTTAAAGTTAGGGTAGACGCATCATGTTTCCATGCACATCCTCGTTAAGTTCATAAAAGGCTTGCCTTCAATTCCCTTAACCTCCCTCTAAAAATTATTTTTCTTTTACCCCCGTAAGGGCAAGCAAGATGTTAAGCTTGCTAGAACAGATACTACACTTGATCAAAGCCATAAAGGCCGAGAAGGTGATTCTATTCTTTCAGTTCTTCCTTTTATATCACTAGGGTTTTCTTTTTTTTCATTTTTTATGAGTTTTGAAGTATTTTTATAACTTTTTTTTTTAAATCACATATAATAAGTTATTTTATTAAAAGTTAGTAGTTTAGTTGAAGAAACATAAAAATTTTAGTTAGAAATGCGTCTTTTGAGTAGTTTATTTTTTATAGTGCTAGTTTTTGCTGTAAATCATGACATTTTCAGAACCTGTCAACAAACCGCTTTTTGTCGTCGTGCACAAAACACAAAACAACAGTTTGTTGTGAATGGTATTATTGAGCAAACTTCAACTTCCATTACATTGGATATAAGAAATCCTATTGAAAATACTTCTTTTGAAATGAGAGTAAGTGGAATTGCAAGTGGTATTTTCAGAAGTAGAATGATTCATGTTGGTGGTGGTGTTAAATTTGATCGTTATGAACCGGAGATTGGGCTTGCTTTAACTGAAGAAGGAATTAAAGAAGTTCCAATTATTATTGAAAAACAAAAAGATAAAGTAGTGTTAATTAATGGTGAAAGTGAATTAAGCATTGACTTTACTAGTCTTGTTATGAAACTAAAAGTTAATGGTTTGGTAGTATTAGTTGCAAATGATAATCAGTCATTACAATTTGAAACTGGAATAAAAACAATTAAAGGAGAAGAAGTTGATGGTGCTGGAGAAGAGAAATTTGCTCAGTTTACTGATAAAAAACCTCATGGACCAGCAGGAGTGTCTATGGGATATTCATTCCCATTGGCAAAGAAGTTTTTTGGGATTCCAGAACATGCCACTGATGTTGTTTTAAAATCAACCGGTTCAGATGGATATAACGAACCATATCGATTGTATAATTCTGATGTTTTTGAATTTGAGTTAGACTCTCCTATGACGTTATATGGTTCTGTTCCAGTTATTTACTCCATTTCTCAAAATGCAGCTGGTGTTTTCCATAACAATCCAACTGAAACTTATGTCTATGTAGATGGACAAAATGTTAGATTTGTATCAGAAAGTGGGGTTTTAGATGAATTTTTCTTACCAGGACCAAAGCCTATTAACTTAATTCAAGAATACCTTCAGTTAACAGGTACTGCTCCAATGGTTCCAAAATACTCTCTTGGATATCACCAATGTAGATGGAATTATATGAGTCAAAATGAAGCTAATGAAGTTATTGAAAAGATGGATGAAGCTTCAATTCCATTTGATGTATTATGGCTTGACATTGAACATACTGATGATAAAAAGTATTTTACTTGGAAACAAAATAAATTCCCAACACCAAATGAGTTAATAGATAAATTAAAGAGTATTGAAAGAAGGCTTGTAACTATCGTTGATCCTCATATCAAGAGAGATAACAGTTATTATGTTTATAAAGAGGCTCTCGATGCCAATTATTTAGTTAAGCGTTCTGATATTGAAACAAATTATGAAGGATGGTGCTGGCCTGGTAATTCTGTTTATATTGATTTTATTAATCCAAAGGCTAGAGAATGGTGGGCTCAATTATACAGTTTTGAGAAATATCAATATTCATCACCTTACTTAATGATTTGGAATGACATGAATGAGCCTTCTGTATTTAATGGACCAGAAGTTACTATGCCAAAAGACAATATTCACACTGATGGAAATAAAACATATGAACATAGAGATGTTCATAATATTTATGGATTGACTTATCATATGTCAACATACAATGGGTTACTGAAAAGAACTAATGGAGTAGATAGACCATTTGTTTTAAGTAGAAGTTTCTACGCAGGAAGTCAAAAATTTGGAGCTGTTTGGACTGGTGACACTGATTCTACTTGGGGACATTTAAAAACATCAGTTGCTATGACTTTAAATCTTAATTTAGTTGGTATACTACAGTCTGGAGGAGATGTAGGTGGATTTTTCCATGATACTGAAGAAGAGTTATTAATTAGATGGTACCAAGTTGGTACTTTTTATCCATTCTTTAGAGCACATGCTCATTTAGACACTAAAAGAAGAGAGCCTTATTTGTTTGAAGAGGAGAGTAGAAGAAGAATGAAAGAAGCAATCGAAATGAAATACTTATTGATAGATTATTGGTACAAAGAGTACTTTATGTCTGTTCGTAATAAAGAGCCATTACTTAAGCCATTATTCCTCATGTATCCAGAAGATGAAATGACTTATAACATTGATAATGAGTTTATGGCAGGAAATGATATTATTGTAACAGGTGTATTTGAAAAAGGTGTAACAACAGTTAATCAATATGTTCCAAAAGGAATTTGGTATGATTGGTTTACAAACACTCCAGTAAAGAATGGATTGAGAACAGTTCCTGTTACATTAGATTCAATTCCAATTATTGTTAGAGGAGGAAGTATTATCCCACTTAAGGAACGTAAGAGAAGAGCATCAGAATTAATGAAATATGATCCTATGACTCTTGTTATATACGCTGATGAAAAAGGAGAAGCAGAAGGGTATTTATATACAGATGATGGACTCACAACGAAACACAACCATATTCTCAGTAAAGTTTATTTGAATTCTAAAGGAATTTCATGTAAAGTTATAGAAAATGAGAATGGAAGTTCTATACCTTCAAGTAAAGAAATAATTAAAATTGTTGTAATAGGAAGTGTAAAACCTAAGTTCATGTTTAATGGAAAGGACAGAGTTAACTTTGATAAGTATAGAACTCAACAATTAAATGAGAAAGGATTTGTTATCAGAAAACCATCAGTAACTATGGATAGTAACTGGACTATTAGTTTCTCTAAATAATTATTGAATATTTTAATTAAAAGGGATTTAGTAATAGTATTAAATCTTTTGTTTTAATGAAAATAGATATAAGGTTGTTCCTAAAGGTATTTTTAAATATTAAAACAACTACATTGAATTATCATTTTATTGTTTTGAATTATTTGTTCAATGTAGAGAAAAGAACAAAAAAGAATGAAATTAACATTAGTTAATTAGACTTATTTTTTTGTTTTTTTTTTCTCTCCTTTTAAAGGAAAAGAAATATTATTCCTAATAAAAGAATGAAGACTGGCATTGAACTGTTAATCTCTGAGTCATCTAATGGGATGCTATAACTCAATTGGTCGTAACTAAAAACACCACCTTCAGGTTCGTCATTAGTAAAGATAAAGTCATTAAACATTACATTCGTGTCTTTCTGATCGTTTTTAGTAATTCTAATTGTGTCAACGTCTGTGTCTCCAAGAGAGGTAATGTCAACAACCACTCTATTCCATTTTTGAGGTTCGAGAACTTCTGGTTGAAATTCAAGAGTTTTAAGCCAATGAGAGCCTAATTCAATGGTTATTCTTAAATTACAAAACTGATCTTCCCAGTTCAAAGCAAAAGTTAAATACTTGTAGTTTTTAGCTTTAATAGGCTTATCTCCATGAAGATTTAAAAAAGAGCTGGTAGCCATTTGTGTATAAAGAATATACCTTCCATCATATTTTCCTGTTTGTGAGGCAAAACAACTTGAATCTTTTTCATACCAATTATTCTTAAAAGCTCCATCAGAAAAAACAGTGTAATTTGCTAATGCAACTGAAATCACACAAGCAAAAGTTAGGTATTGTGTATTCATTATTTGAGACTAATGACTCTTTCTCATAAATAATGTGTTTAAATACAATACCTTTTCGTTTTGTTTTAAATGAGGAAGATTAAAAGATTCATTTATAAGAAAGTTTAATTCTATTTATGTTTTATATCACGAAAATATTATAAATGAAAAAATAAAAAGGTCTTTAAAAAAAGAGTTATGGTAGAAAGTTCACTCTTACTAGTTGTGAGAATTCTTTATAATACTTTTTTTACTCCAATTTTGAGGATTGTATTTGGTCTACCAACAAATGGAGAGCCTAGGTCATTAATTCCTCAATACTCACCAAAAATGGAGTATCTAATATTTGCAGCCTCCAATGCTATTGTTATTCCATTTATTACTATTACCACATTTAATATTGTTGTGCCTAAAAAGTATAGTATCAAAGACTATCTTTTATCATATTTTCTAGGTATTATCTCTACATTCATTGTTATTACAATTTTACATTCTGTTATTATTAATGATATATTTGCATTATCAATGTGTTGTATTGGATTTGGCGTATACGTTGCACCATTATTTATAATTGGAATATACTCATCTTATAACGAAATGATTGAGAGGCATTTATTTTTAATACCGACATTTTTCACAGTGTTTATCTTTTTTGTTTCTTGTTGTCCTTGTGCCCTAGATAATCCATTACCATGGAAATTCTTCCCAACACCATCTTTTATGATATTTCCTTTTGCAACAGTGATAAGTGATTTATATTCATTATTGTATGTGTTGCTTGTTCACAAAGATACAAAGAAAAATTGGTTATTTGAAAATTAATTTTTTTAATTATCTTTTTTTTTTCAGAAAAATAAAAATTTATTACTTTCTAGTTGTAAAGGTGTTATAGTATAATAAGTAATGTGTAATGCATTGTATTTATAAAATAGAAAAGTGTGAAAGTTGCAAGTTTGATTTTTGGTAGAATCATTTTTACATTAATTTGAAATTTAAGTAGGTTTTATAGTAATAAAAATTTTTTTAGTTGTTACTTAACACTAAATTATAACAACATTTAAGAAATTAAATAAAACTATTGTTGATAGCAAGACTACTTTTATTCAGGAGGTTATTTATCTTTAAAAACAAGCCATGATGATTAGATTCGTGTTTATTACAGTTTGAGAAGTAAGAATGATCTAACCTAAAAATGGTATTGAATATCAAATTTATAGTATTTTTCATAATATATTATAATTTTATGTCATAAATGAAGTATTAAGAAAAATAAAAAGAAAGTATAATGAAATAGTTTATGAAAATAAAATCTTCTATGAAAAAATAATACAAAATAATCCAATTAGAATGAGTATAATGATAATAAGAATCATATAATGTATTAAAAGAATAAGAAAAGTAAATACAAGTATAGAAGATATATGAACAAGGGAAATAGAAAAAGAAGATATTATAGAGATAAAATAATCTAAAAGTATATACAAATTGTGGAATATTATAGAATAGGAATAAAAGAAGGAAAAGATATTAAAATAAAGAAGAATATAAAAAAGAAAATATTAATCAATGATTGAGGAATTATAATTATAAAGAGTTATACAACTATGTCAAACAATTACATAATAAAACATTAATATATGATGATAGAAGAAAATAAAAGTAAGGAAAATAAAAAGCAACTAATTAAGTGTAAAAAACTGGTTTCTATTGTTCCTGTTTCTGATGAGACTAGTTTCATTTATGAATCTTCATCTAGTAAATATACAGTGTATGTTTTATTTTAGTCGAATTAATATTCCATTACATTCATGTTTTTAACTTCTTTTTTTATATTATTATTTTCAATTTTCAATTCTTTAATTAGTTTAATACTTTCTGTATTTATTACTCAATTTATTTTTAAATTTCTTATTTCTCTTATTTTCTTTATATTTATTTCTTTTATTCATTTATTTCAATTATTATAATATTACAACATTAATCATATCACTTATTTGACTACTTTTATTTTTATTTATTAATAATATTTATCAATGTATTTTCTTTTCTTTCTTTTATATTGTGTTAATGAATATTTCTAGTTATTTATTTTCATTATACTTAAATTTAATTCATTTATTGTTATTATGACACTATCATAGTTTCATATCTTTCATTCCACGAGGTGATTTGTTTTATTTTTCAATTTTCTTTATTTAATATCACCTGTGTTTCTTATAACAATTTCATTTGTTCTAAAGTAATATCGTTATTTGGGTATATTTCATTTTTTTATTTCTTCATTATTATAATTTTCTTGTTAGAATCAAACATGATTTTATTTGTATTGATTCTGACCCTTTCTTCCTTATTAAATTTAATCCTTTCTTTTATCATAGTCATCATATATTTTATGTATTTTATTCTTTCTAGTGATTTGACTTTTATTCATTCTTCATTATATTCTTTTAATTTCATGATGCACTTTATTCTGTACCATTTTATTGAATATATCTTCTAGTCTATTTATTTTCTTTAGGATTTCTTTTATTTCATCAAATTTATCTCCTATTATTTTATTTTGGAGATAGAGGTGCATAACCATTGAAATCCTCTTCATATCATCTTGCAGATAATCTATTCTGCTTCTTGACATTATCCATCTATTATTAATTTCAATTATTAATTTGTCAGCTTCTTTTCTTTTCCAGTAGTAATTAATGTTTGAACATTTTTCTATTTTCATTTCTTTTATTTTATTGATGAGAGTGTTAAGGTATTCTTCATCAATTTCTGTAGAGTTATTCTTTAATATTATGTTTTTTATTATTGAATTACACTCTACTCTTCCTTCTATTATATCATTTACTTTCATTTTAATGTATTGTTCAGTACATTCTTTTATTTTATGTGACACTTTAACATAATTAATATATTCTTTTTCATTATTGACATTGATGTTTATTACTTTTATTATACTTTCAATTTGTTCCCATCTTAATTTCTTATATAATTTCTTATTTAACCAATTAATTGCAAAACAATACAACACTTCAATTAAATTTCTATTTCTTTGTTTTGTTGTATTTCTTGTATTTTCTTTATACTTTCTTTGCTATTATTTATTCTTGAAATTTTACATCTTTCATTCATTTCTTTATTTGTATTTTTGTTTTTAATTCTTTCTTCATTTGTTTTAATGTCTTTTTCTTCAATTTCTTTTGTTTTTTCTTTAATTTTTTCTTTGATTTTTTCAATTATCTTTTTCTTTTTGATTGAATTATTTCTTGAAGAATATCATACCATCTTTTTCTTTTATCTTCTTACTTTTTGAGTATTTCTTCGTATTCTCCTTTATTCCATTCACTTGTTATTCTTTTTATTCTTTCTTGTATCTCATTTATTGTTAACCATTTATATTTGTTATTGATGTAATCGTTATTATTATTGTATTTACATTGTTTCTTATTTGTTTTTATTTGTGTCTTTTGTCTTCTAATCCATTTTCCTTGGTGTTTCATTTATCATTATTATTATGTTATTTATTGTTGGTGACATTTCTTTTTATTGTATGACATTAGATTTCTATGTCTTGTTTGCTTTTCTTTACAAGACTCTAAGGTTTTACACAATAGCCATGACATTAAAACTTGTTTCATTTCCTGCATTGGATAAGATCTCCATTAACGATAAAATGTAAATAAAAAGAACATAAACATAAAATAATTGTCAACATAATACTTTAAATTATGATATAATAAACTGAAGGAAGACTTATGACACCCATAAAAATATAAACAATAATGCTTATTATTTTTAACTTTAATCCAATGAAACAGTATAGTGAAAAAAGATGTAAATAAAAATGATAATAAACAATGAAATTACATAAATATTAAAAACTTCAACTAATATCAAATTATTAGTTGATGAATTTTTAGAAGTTAGAGAAATTGGTGCTTTTTAAATATCTCTATCATTTACATACCATAATACCCCTCTTTCTTCTTTTCATTCATAGTCTTTATTTCTGAAGTTCTTGGGTGTACATTAGAAGTTGTTGTTCTTGTTTGGAAATGACATAAGAAATATATCTTTTGATTTTAACATAAACAAATTGATTTTATAATCATTTCTATTGGAGATAGACATCCATTTACTAGCTAAACAAAGTGTTGAAGTGTCTTGTAAGAAAGGTGCACATTGATCTGAAACTGCTGATTGTTTGTGTGTGTCCATTAAAACTTTTTAAGAACCGAACTCTTTTTGAATGACAGTAAACTAAAAATAAAATGAATTTTTTTCTTGTTTACTAGAAAATACTTCTTATTTTTTACTAACCATACCTCATTTTATTCTATGATTTTCTAAAAGTCAAGACATTTATAAGCTAGCTTTCTTTTTAATTGATTTTTATAATTAAAATAATAATTTATAAAAAGTATTTGGCAATATAATATAAACAACATGGACAATGTCTGAACGTTAATGAGTACTACACTTGATACATTAAGAGCACACTAACAACTATGATTAATCATAGCACTATATAAACAACATTAATTAAAAGATGTACAATAAACAAAAGTCATAAGCCTTCAGACAAAGAGTACAACAAATAATATCTTCTTAAATAAATATACTAAGAATAATTAAAACAATAAACGAATAACTCTATAACAATTGAACTAAAATCCCCGGTCATAGTAATAACTAAAGATAACAAGGTATAAAGAGTATTTCTTAAGAATAAGACTAAACTTAAAACATACTTGAGAAGTAGGTCTTAGAGTGAACAAGAAAACTATAAGATCTTCAAATTTTTTATTAAATATTGAAAATTTTTAAGTTTTTATTATATTTTTATAGTTTATTCTAAAAGAATAATGATTTTTAAACATTACTATAATAATAAAATAAATACTATTAATTATTAAAACCCTTTTTATTAGTTTTTAAGATTTTTTATTAGTTTTTAAGATTTTTTATTAGTTTTTAAGATTTTTTATTAGTTTTTCTTTCTCCTCAAGACTATCCCTTATTTTTTATTATAATTTAAATATGAATAAATTTCACTTGTTTTTCAATTTTGAATACCTTGGAAAAGTTTCTTATAAAATTATTGAGTATTTGCTGATGATTTAAGTCAGACTTAGATAAAAGGTTTTAAGGTAACAAAATGCACAAACCTGATATTTTTGTAGATTTTTATTCAAAATAAAGTCAACGATGAAGAGAATTTGAATTAATTATTTTGTTATTTATTTAATAACCGAATCGAAAGCTGAGTGTCAAAAATACCATAAACATTAGTACAAAATGAAATATTGAATTATCAATTATTGTCTAGTTATGATGATGTATTTGAATATGAGGTGTATTAATTAATATTACAATGAATGTAATAATGTATTATGAAAGAATAGTATTAAATAAAAATGATATTAATAATGATATTACTAATAAATGAAATTATATATAATAATATAATGATAATGAAATAATCATCATAAAATAAGAAGTAAAGAAATGATAGTTTAATGAGAATAATAAAAATGATGAAAATCTAAAAGAATAAAAAGACAAGAAAACAAATAAAAGAAATAAAATAATTTATTCATAAAACAAGAAGAAAATCCAATTAATAAATAAAATACTCATTTTAATGATATATGATGTTATTAATTTTCATTAATCAATGAATCAATGACAATTTTATTAAAAGTTAATTATCTAATATTTATTAAAGTATTTGAATATGTAATATTATTTTTCACTGCTTTTAATTTAAAATATTTATATATATTACTTTTAGTTCTTTTTTTATATTTAGATGAATGTTT